GCTGCCCGAGGAGAGAACAGGCCGGAGGGTCCCCCCGCGCTCCCCCTGCGCTCCCCTTCCCCTGGAAGCCGTACAAAGAGGGGGCTGGCAGAGATATTTGCTCACTGTCTTCGTTGTCATAGATGGTCTGCTGCACTGCTAAGGGAAAGCAGAACTGCTCCACTCCATTGATACAAAGAAAGCCAGAGACAAAAATGGGCAAAGGGCAAACCATCAACAACATAAAACTGTGCGGTTACAGAGGTGTTCATTGCCTAAAATGAACATGCTAAGGAAAATGCTTCTGTAGGCCTGCTTTTAACCAAAGCTAAGACAGATGCAAATTAAAATTTTGCTTTAGTGAACAACACACCTCCTCTCACCTGTGAGTGTGTCAGGAGAGCAGGACCAGCATTTATGTCAGGCTGCGGTCCTGCACCATTCAGCATGGTCTGAGCTGGATCATGTAGAAGAAGGTGTGTGAAGGGCTGATGTGGGCATGTAGGAAATAAATAACTTCCCTGAAACTTTCATCCTATCCTTGTGAAGAAATGGATCGTTGAGCATTTTCCTTAATAAAACCAGTTCAATACAGTGAGAAGAAATTCAGCGCCCCATGTGCTGACTTATTTCCTCTCTACTTCTCTTCCTTTCCACATTTTTTAGCTATAAATAGGGCCCTAGCTTTCAAAGTTTGGAGTTGTCCTGATTTTCATTTGATACAGCCTCATTTTGAAGAGGATTGTCTACTTTAATATCTAGTTCAGGCCCTAAGTACTATCTGTATATTATAGACACTATACAGTGAAAATATGCACAGAACTGTGGGACAAATGCAATCCTTTAGCTGACAAGACTTCTGTAAGAATGGATGCTTGGCCCCAGATAATCTCTTGAAGGACTTAATATGGCACATAAAACTTGCTGTGAGTAGGCTTTTGAGTATTTCAAATGAAGAAGTCTCTATTCTGATCTCAAATATGTGCATGCTCTTTGCCAACCCTTAAATTAATTTTCTGCACTTACGATAGGATGTGACAGTGCCTTTTTTGTTCTTTTGGTGCAGAAAGCAGCATGCATTCAAATATTTGAAATGATGACAGCAATTAAAGACTACATTTGGACTGATATGAAAAATGCCAGACTCACTAACTTAGCTATAGTAGTGTCTAATACACACTTAATGTAAGATTTAAACTCAGTTAAAATTGTTTGGTAACATGTATCAAGTAATATGATATTTTGGTAAAAGCTTTAGAGAAAAAGCCTTAGTAAGAAATCTGAAAGTATTGCATGTCCAGATATAATGGGAATTTTAAAATTGTTTCAATGGATCAATTGTATCTAAGACACTACATATACCAGACAAAAGGTGTGCTGCCACTTTATATTACTTAAATAATTACATAGTGGCAAAATATTTCCTCCCAGTATTTTTTATTTGTGCATATGTAGAGAATAACTTAAAATGACCAGGCCTTTAAAAAGGGTTATCAAAACAATAATACTGGGTGTTTGTAGTGCTGAATAATATATAAGGTAATGATCAATACTCCCTTACAGGGAATACTTTTCATCTTTACATTAGCTTGGCTATAAATTTTCCCTATTGGTTTCAACTTGTGCTATGTTCAATCTCTGCAATTCATGCCTGCTATTGATTAGTGCACAACTATTTTGTAAGAGATGTCAAATTAATTGTTAAAAAAAGCCACAAAAGTGCCTTTTTATTGGCCATGTGAGGCTCAACACACACTATACTGTTATTTCATTATTTCATATACATATAATTTCCAATAAGCTTTAAAAATAGTTATGCAGTGTACTTAGACATGAAAATTCACATAATGTATTGAAAATGCTACTCTGTGCAGGACACACCTTATTTTGTGACTCAGAAAGTAGCATAACACAGCAGCATGCTTCTGAACGTTGCTGGATAACTTCCTGTGAGACCATTACACAGGAAGCACTCCCAAAGAGGAAGAAGTTTCCACTTTTTAACACAGGATTACTAGGCTTATGCCAGATTTTCAGTAGCATCCTCACTGAAGAGGTAAGCAATTTGCAGGCAAGGCTGCTAGAAAATCCCCAAACCCTCAGATCCAGATGAGCCAATACTTGATACAGATACGTGTACTGTGCACATGGGTGCTGAACCTTGGAGCTTTGCAAAAGCAGTGCTTCTCTGCAAGGTATTCTTGTTTCTAAGTGAACAAATGTCGGTGTAAGGTTGCTGGTATTTGCATGGGAAAACTTAATCATGTACACACTGTTACACTTAGGTGTAGGATGTTTTAATGTCTGAATTTTAGATGAGTAAATGATAACACACCAGAGAGAATGGTTACTATCTAAACAGAAATGCATGACACTGGACTATACTAAGGATTTTCATTTCTCAAGCCTCTGGAAGATCATACTGTGAGTAAATCTTTCCCTGTATTTCTGATTCATTGATGTCTGAAAAGAGATCTTTTGGTTCCATGTGTAACATTGCTTTATTTCACAATTCCAATTAAAATGCATATTTTTTCAGAAATTATTTTGCAAGACAAGTTTCATAGGTTCCTCATTCCTGCTAATTTTGGCAATCTAAAAACTTTTTTTTTCTCTGAATATATTATCTGTTGTGCAAATCAGAATAACTGAGCTTAAGATACGTGTTTAGGAATGATGAAAAAGATTGGGGCAATCTCTAAATTTGATACATTAATGCTGTCTGCAGTGCATCATTCTAACAAAGACCCAAAGTACTTGAAGTATTGTATATTAATTTTGTCCTCATCTTCCAAACAACTCAAAAAATGGGAAAAAAGCCTTGAAAATAGCTGCTTGACACTCAGGGATAAGTCATATCTGGGGAAAAAAATTCTTTCAGTAGGAACAATTCATACATTGTTTGTTTTTTCCTTCATTTCATAGGTATACTGGAATTTATCAGTATAGCAGTGGGCTTGGTCAGCATCCGAGGAGTCGACAGTGGACTTTACCTTGGAATGAATGAGAAAGGAGAACTGTATGGCTCGGTGAGTTCCTGCTAGCCTTGTGCAGTTTTAATCCTTACATTCTGTGGGGGAAGCACTGGCTAGCTCGTACAAGCTCCCATTGGACTATGTGTGTGTGCTGTATGAGCACTCTTTCTGCTCTGAATATCTTGCAATCTAATTCAAAACAAGACCCCGTGGGTGACATAATGAATGTGGGAGAGGGAAAAGGTGACAAAATCAGGAATGAGTAATAATGCAGATGAATGGCAATTTAGATACAAACAATAGAGACTGATGGCCAGAGCTGGTCACTGAAGACTAAAGGATGTACTCTAAGATTTGTAAATGTCTCCTGTCAGTGGAAACCTAAATCCAGACAAAGCAGAGTCCTTTTGTGTGTAGGCAGAGAGCTTTCTAGGAATTGACAAAATAAGGTAGAGGGGGAGGAAAAGGGTGGCATATGTGGATGAGAGAATGAGAAACAAGAGTATGACAGAAGTTATAAAAAGTATAGGAATGAGGGCAGGAGGCTTGGTGATCTTGTCCTGAAAGTTTTCTTGGTGCTCCCTGAGGGACGGCAGCAGGAGTGAGTAACAGGTGTGAGGGAGGAGTAAAACTTGGTATTTCAGATGTGGGAGTTTGCCAGCCTACCTGCAGCTGATGGGTGACTGTTCTTGGCAGCATGGGCTGTTTTCCAGCAGAGCAGTGTGTGTGTGTGTGTGTGTGTGTGTGTGTGTGTGTGTGTGTGTGTGTGTTGGTATGACGTGGCTCTTACCTGGGACTATTGGAGGCATCTGATGTACAACCGGCTTCATACCCTGGGTAGATCGTGGGCAGGTTCATCTGGAATTTGGCAGATAATTCCCCAGATGGTAGAAGGCAAGCTCTGCTAGCAGTAAAATATCAACCTCCAAAGCTTACAAGCGGTTGTATTTGAGGGAAAGGGTGGCAGGATTGAAGGGTAAGTGAATATCTGAGGCAAAAGTGAATATCTGAAACGAAGTGAAGCTGTGTATTCACAGAAGTTCATTAGAAGCAGAGGAGAAGGGTACAATGATCCATTGTAATGTCGTGTAAATGTTGAAGAGAAGCACTCAAAAAGAAGTTAAAGTGATAGAGAAGGGCTTTGAATGTAATTGAAGACACCTGTGTCACAGGGGAGTAGCAGTAACAGGGAGAAGGGTGGGGATGGCAGTGAGAGTAGGAGAAAACATGAGATGATGGCTGTGAATGTGCAGGTGAAAACAGAAGGAATAAGAGGGAAGTCCAACTTCCATGTACGTTATCCATGTAGAAGTGTGAGCAAGTGAAACTGGGAAAGTCCAGCAGCAGTGTTTCCATAAGCGTGTCCAGGTTCACTTATCTCTTTCTAGCAAAATTTGGTGTGAGAGAGATGAGGAGGATTATCTTCTCAACAAGGAGCAAGCTAGGTGAGGAAGCCAGGAGATGCAGATAATGACAGTGTATGTGGGAGGCAGAAAAAGAGGTGGTAAAATGAGGGGCAAGGCTGGGATGGAGGATGAGTGGACATGGGAGAAGGGGAGATGCAGAGGTGGGGAGAGCCAGTGAGCGGGAAAGGCCAAAGAAACTGAATTTAGCATAAATGTCAATATGGAGCAGGTAAAGTTTGGAAGGATGGAGGGGGAGTGAGAAAAGGAATTGATGCCATGACAGGTGTAAACCAGTTGCCTGTGAGGAGCAAGTTGTCATAAGTCATAGTCCTTGTGCAGCTGATGAACGTGATAAAGAACTAGCAAAGTATATGAGTACATCAGGTTCAGTTAGGCAGCAAAAAGGCAGAACAACAACAGTAATATGAATCAGTAATGTTGATAGTCATCAGTGAGAGTAATTGTTTCAACATATAAACATAGTGAATCAGTTACTCTGCATTTCAGATATTCTGAGACAGGAAATGTGGTTATTGATAGAGCTTAAATGCATAGACTTGGGAAAGCAAACGTTACATAACTTTCCTGTGCAATTTATGTTTTGTATTTGCAATATGTTTGGCTGTCAGAGTGAATTAGTCAAGACAATCTTTGCTGAAGAAATATACACAAGAAATTCTTTGCATATTAGTAAGCTCACTGCATTTATAAAATAGTTGTTCCATGAACAGCAGTTCTAAAGGAGCCTGCTTTCCTAAGGAGCTGTGTCCCACAGTACAAGGCATGTGTCTCTCTGACATTCTGTCCCTGCAGTAGCATAAATTCCCTAGCCTTTTGTGTTTCTTGTATGGAGAAAGGGACAGTGTTAGCTGTCCACGCTCACCAGACCGTCAGTTTGCAGGAATTACATAGCTCACCACTCCGAAGTGGGATGTGCAAATAATTTCTCTTCTTTACTTTGGCTCTGATTAGTTGCAAAACTGATAGGAACTTAATTTTCTTGAAGACCTTTGCCTCCTAATTGAAACTGGTTGACAAGCTAAGGAGAGACAAGCAGGCAAATGGATGTACAGTATAATTGGATAACCTCTTTTTCCTAAGAAATGACACTAAAAATATGAAGCCATTCATAATGGAGAACTGGCAATGTCTGAGGCTAGAATGCAAAGTTCAGGTTAAAATCTGATGGATGATAGGGCTTATTGTCAGCCTCCAGAGATGGGACATACGAAAGAGTGATGGTAATTGAATTACATTACTTCCAATGAAATATAACCTCTAATGGCTACTCAGTGTGATGATGCTTTAAAGCCTTGTCAACACTAGCAATCCTCGGGCCTATATTTCAGCAACTGTCAGCTCCCTTAGAAACACTGAGATAAGCAGGCCTCAGAGCAGAGTTTTGTGTAGAATTGGCTGGACATTTTAAAGTGACAGTGTTTTGCTTTTGGTTTTGGTAAAAAAATGCAATTAATTGAAAGTGAAGTTCTCTGATGGGTATGAATTTGCTGCTTGAACCAGAAGCAAGTCACAATCCAGTACAGAATTATCTCTCTGGCAAAGTAGAAGATCAGATTAAAAGAAATTAGTTTTGAGACTGATGTGTGGTAGACTGTGAAAAAGTTAAATCAGTTTTTCACCTGCATTAAGCAGACCAATCTCTTCAGCTGAACTGCTCTGTAGCACCAGTAAGTTGTCCTTGTGCTGCTGTGCTGTGAGGTGTATCCCTCTGTCTTGGTTTGTTCCCTAAGGGCTGTGAGCAGCATCAGCTTTGTCACCTAGCAGGTACATTTAAGACACTGTGGCTGTGTTTCCTAAGATGGGAAACCCACACACAACTGAGCAGTAGCCTAAGAAATGCTTGGTCTTGTTCTTCATCAGCATTGGGGATCTAAGTAGGTGCTCAGATTCACAGCTTGTGCAGCATTCAGTACTCAACACTATTGGAATACATGCCCTGTGTCTGACACTATCACATTTATATTCTAATTACTGCATGAAAAATACATTAGGCATGAACCAAATCAGTGACCTAAAAGACCTCTATCCTTCTATATTTGTATTTGAAACATTTGACACAGGAAGATTTTTTCCCAGCATAATTGTGGTGCCACTGGAGATGGGACATATGGCCAAGCACAGCAGCCAGGATGGGTGATTGCTGCCAGTTTTTATGAAAGACAACAGAAGAGGCAGTTTCAGCATATCTTGATCCAGTCACATCCCTCTTGGCCTTCTCAAAGTTCTGCTTTCCTCATGGATTAGCTGCTTGACAAGCTCTTCCCACCTCCCCACTCTCACAGGGGTCAGTTCCTGCTGCATTTTCTGGTCAGAAGAGCACAGTGTCTCTCATGCTGCTTTCAGGCAGATGTGTAACATAACGTGGCTGTTCTCAAATTCTTCCTCATACCATGGATTTGGCCAGAGAAAGCTGAAAATGCACATGGTGCTGCAGGGGAACCATTGGTAGCTACCTAACAATGTCTCTGAGCCTGGTTGGTGACAGCAGCTTTCCCTCCTGCCTCATCTGTCCCTGCTTTCCCTTTACCTTGCCTTTCCCTGGCAGCCTGCAGCTATGACTCATCATGTTTCACAGCAGCTACTGTGCTTGCCGCTGGAAAGGAGGAAAATGCAAACTACAGATAGGACCCAAAGGGAGTTAAGACAAGACACGAAGACCTTTTCTTTCCCAAGTGCGAAACAGCTTTTACCAACATGTCTGGCAAGGACATTAGCAAATGTGTGTGAGCTGTGTTCCTCAGGGCCATGCCACGGAGGGAGGGAGGTCTTCCTGATCTGATCGCACAACCTTCATGCTTTTGTAGGCTTTCCCCATTATCATGCTGCCCTTGGGAATACTAGCAGATATTATAACTATTACATTGTGAATCACTCTCTAATTTTCTTCCAGCCTGTGTAATAGTAACTGTGTTAATCATTTAAATTGTTTGCAGTATTTCCATCCTTTATACAGCAGTATTTAGAGGTGCTCCCATCACTTTGGCAAGGGACATTGCTGAGTTTATGTCATGCCAGTCATTATATGGTCAAATACTAATTTGAAAACCTAGCAAAAATGAATATTCCCACTGCAGGCTGTCCTCTGAGGGAGTTTTGTGCTACCTCAAGCACAGACCAAGCAGGAACGTGGGGACACCCTTGCCTCAGCTGCCCTGGCTGTCCTGGGCTTTTCTGCAGCAGAGAGCTATGCTGCATCTGACTGCTGCCATGCCCACCTCACTGATCTCCCACAGACATGCACCTGCCCCATTCCTCTTCTCAGACTGAATATAAATAAATTTGTTTTTGGTGGTGGGTGTAGTGAGGCACAGGAACAGGTTGCCAAGAGACACTGTAGATGCCCCATTGCTGAAAACATTCAAAGTCAGGTTGGACCAGGCTCTGAGCACCCTGATGTAGTTAAAGATGTGCCTTGCAGGGGGGTTAGACTAAGTGAGATTTAAAAGTCCTTTTCAACCCAAACCATTCTGTGAAATGCTGGTGCCTCCACTGCTCCTTGTGCCCTTGGCAGGTGGCAAAAGACAGCTCAGGTTGGTGCTCAGGAGGAATTTTGGTAGCTGCAAGATCTGGAGCAGCTACCAGGAAAGCTGTGCAGGTGGGGAGAGGAAGGCAGGAGTGGAGATGTAG